TTTAAGGGATTTTGGGTTCTCTGGGTGGATGGCCGTTCTAGAGCCGGTACTAGAACTGCGACCGAAGCAGGAAGATATAGATACACTAGAGCGGTCACGGTAGGCCTAGGTGCATGCCTCAATTCATGTTCCGATCGGCTTTACGGTTCCCACTCCTTCCTGTTCCTTCTGGCGGTAGACGGAGGAGGAGTAGTACTGTAGTAGTTATAGCAGTACCAGCAGTAGCAGTAGCGGTAGCCGTAGCCGTAGTGGTAGCGGTAGCGGTAGCGGTAGCGGTAGTAGCAGCAGCAGCAGCAGCTGCAGCAGCAGCAGCTGCAGCAGCAGCACAAGCAGTAGCAGCACGACACCACATAGCATTGCTAGAAGCATCATGGCACTTCATGGAGGGTTGGAGTCACTAGACTAGTCACTGGTACAACAATTTGCTTAAAAGTCCCTACACACTTATACGATGTACATATATATATATATATTTGCTAGAGCCGCAGTCCCTATATTAAGGCTCCTATATTGCCCTTATGAGGCTTTCAGTTCTGGTGGTGAAGATACAGGTGGGAAAGCATTGCCGGCAGAATCGAGAAAGTTGCAACAGTCGAATATGCCGCGAAATGAGTGGACCCAAACAGCTATCCAAGGCTTATGAAGACGGTTCTCCACTTTGGGAAGGTGCATCCACAAGCTTGTGCTGCCCTAGACAGAAGCCCGCTACCCAACCTGAGTCAGATGTCTTCCGATCGATCCCAGTATTCCTGTAGTCTCACTCGTAATTCCTTGTTTGTTTACCTTGGCGTTAATATCCTGGGGTCCTAGCCACAAATTTGGTCAACACAAAAATAAACAAGGAACTGCAATGGCGAATTGATGGGTGTGGTGTACACTGTGATGGTCATGGCATCAACACCCAAGCTTTGTAGGACCTTGAGTGTCGAAGAAAATGGTGCATACGGTTTCCTTCAAATCCTGCTAGCCGGCGTTCCTCTACACACCACGCCCCGGATTCAATTTCAGCATAGGTTTCGCTTAAACAACCTAGGAAGGACGTGCTGGATTTGGAGGGCTTGAGGCTAGGGTTTAGGGTTTAGGGTTTAGGGTTTAGATTTTTTGTGACCTAGCCCTAGCCTTAGCCAGTAAGTCCTGAGCGTAGTTGCGAAAGCCTGCAAGATGCGTTTTGGTTTGAAGGCAGCTCTGGAGTTCACGTCAAGTTGTTCGCGATCGGCATTTAGGGTTAAGGGATTGGCATTTTGGGTCTATGGTGACAGATATCTTCGATTTTCAAGAGCCGAGTGACGTGTGTTCAAATTGCGCAAGTACTTCGACACGATAGAAGTTCCCATTTTTTTGGCCGCAACAGCGGGAAACATGCGCGGTGCGACGATTCAGATAGACACCCCCTTATCTTCTCCCACAGTTGCTATACACCCTGAATGCTTGAAACCGTAAGCCCACGACCCGACCCAGAGCCCAACAACCTTAAACCCCAAAGCCCTAATTAAGGACCCTCCAGGATTGCGGGTGTAGAGTCCAAAGCCTCAACTTGCAATCGCTAAGAACCCCAGATCTGCAAACCCCCCAGCAACCCGAATTTTAATCCCCAGGCGCAGAACCCTAATATAGGAGCCTCAATAATTACCTATACTATCTTGGGAAATCAATTATAGTATAATGGGCCCCCAAACCCAATTCTAATTATAAAGGCCCCTACATTCATCATCCCTAAGACAAGGTAGTTCAAAGCAGAAACAAGTCCTGACAGCAGCTTCCACTGCAAAGAGCACCATGGGACAGGTCCGCTCTTCCCGTATAGTGACGGAAAGGGCAACGACTTCAACATCTCCTTGAGGGTGAAGGTTGGGCGGTTTCACGGTTGTCGGGGCTTTTGGGGATTTGGTGTGTTCGTTATATGGGAGTTTCTGAAAATAGGGGGCCCTAATATAGCACCCTAAATAGTAGGATTCCTATTATAAGGATCCCAAAATCAGGTACCCCCTATGGCCTTGTAGGATTTCTCTAATTGCAGGGTTGCGGCTTTGTGGCATGCCCATTGTGTGGTTGATCTTTTTGTTGGGGGAGGCTTGGTTTTCGGGATAAACCCGCAGTCTCTGAGGAATTTGGGAGAATCGGTACAATCTTTTACCGAAAAAGGTTCCTAGAAAGCGGATCGGGCTCAACAGACCAACATCACCTGAAAGTGATGTGCTGCTGGCTTAGGCCCTTATTGAGGTTCACGTAACTCGTGAAGCCTTGCTCGGCTTACCAAGATCGAAAATGAGCCGGCAAGCGCACCACGTCCTCCAAAACAGGTCCGTGCACAGATGTTTGGGGCTTTCAGGCCTCCGCAACCTGCCCCGAAGCACAAGCCATGCAGCTTATATCTCCCCTATAGCCATCTTGAAAAGATGGCAAAAATGGAGACTCCGCAAGCCCAAAGCTCCCTGTCGGCATCACAGACGGCCTGGTCAGTCTTTCTTTATCGTCTTCTCCAATATCGCCATCATCATCGTCGTCGTCATCATCTTCCTCTGCAGCATCTTGTCATCGTCATCATCATGCTCACCACCACCATCGCCCTCACCATCACCATATGCCATCAACAACATCATCATGATCATCAGGGAAGACGATGTGAGCACCCCAAGTAAGGACGGCAATGTGACAGGAGCACACACGCCATCTTGTGACAATCCAAGACAAGAGCGCTCGGAATTATGAGCCCTCGGCGACCCAAGAGTGTCTCCAGGTTGAGCGCGTTTCAAGTTTAGGGTGCAGGGAGCTGAATGCCAACATGGACAAGAGCGCAGAAACACACCAACTTACGGACGGCACTGTGGCGCCACACGATTCATTAAGCTGCGGAGCGGCTCCAAGCCACTAATGGGTTCTGTACCTAAAGGATCATGGGACTTAGTAACTGAGGTTATAAACAAGGTAACTATACTTATAACCCAAATTAGGGTACTTATAACCCTACTTACTAAGTCCCAAGATCCTCCAAGTAATAAACTCGGTGTCCCGACGGATAGGGCCAGAGAGCAACTGTGGCGAGAAGGCGGTTTTAGTCGAGAAAGTGCATCACGCCAAAGTCGCCCAATATTTGATCCTCAAAACATAAGAACCGCGCGGTCCGGTGTAACCGTGGTGTTTGTGCTTTAGCAATCCTGCATCTACTTCCCCCTAAACCCTAACCCTAAACCCTGAGCCACCGGAACTGTGCAGGCGGGCCAAGTTCGCGGCCTTGAGGCCTTGCAGGTTCAATCCTCTCGCTGCTTCGGCACTTCGGCGCGATTTTTTGGGATTTGGGTTTAGGGTTTAGGGTTTAGGATTTGGGGTTTAGGGTTTAGGGTTTCGGGTTTAGGATCTGAGGTTGCGGGGTTCGGTGTATAAGGTTTTAGTGCTTTGGATGTGTGAGGTGTGACTTGAGGCTGATGTGGGGTTCCTTGCAGAAAGGCCTACGATGTTGGCTTTACTGGGGTTTAGGGTTTAGGGTTTAGGGCTTGGGGTTTAGGGTTTAGGGTGCCGCCCTTCCCATCACAATACCTCCCCCAGAGTGTCCAAGCGTTGGTTCAGGTGACATACCTTCGATGAGGCCCTACGGAGGATCATGGGACTTAGTAGGCAAGCCCGTAAGTACTCTTAATTGGGGTCATACGTAATTCCAAGTATAGTTTCCTAATCTATGACCTTAGTTAGTCAGTCCCAGGATCCTTTAAGTAATTTAGGGGCCTAAACAGTTAGAATAGGGTTTGGGGTATATTATACTATAGTTATAATAAGGAACCCCCAGAATCGTAAACCCCAAACCTATAAACCTTATAAACCCTAAACCCTAATTCTTAAAGGCCCTACAGTGTTCGGATGCTGCTTTCTTACGGCGGTTGATGCGCGCCTGCAAGATGCTCTTATCACTAACCCCGTGGTTCAGTGCAACAATTGGCGTTATGGTTTAGGGTACAGGGGTTCAGGGTATAGGGGTTTAGGGTATAGGGGTTTAGTGTTTAGGCGTTTAGGGTTTAGAGGTTTTAGAGGTTTTAGAGGTTTAGGGTTTACGGTGATGGTTGAGGGTTTAGGCCCCGCGCCCCCCGCGCCTTGCTCGTCAAGGCAATGTCGTCAGCAACGGAGGCAACGAGCGAGGGAGACTGAGGGTGTGATACGGTTGATGATACAAACTCCGCATTACCCATAATAAGGAATATACTATAATTCCCATAGTTTAGGGTCGTTAAGGTAATGCAGGATTTCTATCATCAACAGTAGTAGGCTATACATACATAAGTAAAAAGAGTTCAACAAGGCTTTATCGGGGAGTTTTAAGAGGAAGGGTGTTGCAATGCGTTGAAGAGGGTTTCAGATGCGTAGACCTGGTTCTACAGAGAGTCGAGTTCTCCCCGGTCGCTTGTGAGACATGTGGAAATATTGGGGAATGTGTTTTAAATTAGGGCCCATGAGGCGAGATTTGGGCCCCTATGAGTTTGCAACTTTCACTTTGCCTTTGGATTTCAGGTTCTTGACATTCCGAGTTCAGGACAGCTGAGATCTTGGCTTACCTACGCGCTGACCATACTAGGGCTACCTGATCTAGATATCCTTACAATAGAGATCACACTACTGAGACCCCCATATCTTAGGCCACTTATTCTCAGAAGCCTAAATCTTAATCAAACCCTACGCCTGGATCCCTGATTTCATGAAAGATGTGGCAACTGTCAAAATCAAGGGCCCTTTGGGGAACCCAATACAGCACCCTACAGTTTGGGAACCCGACAGAGACCCAAATTGGACAACCACCCATGTCTAGTCTGCAAGTCAGAAGTCTGGAGTTGCAGATGCCCTAAACCCTAAACCTTAAACCTAAACACTAAACCTTAAACCCTGAATATTTTACACCCTAAACCCTGAGCCTCAAACCCTGAACCCTAAACTGCGGATGCTTCTCCTCCGAGCTCCAGGTCCCTCAACCCCAGCACGCCTCCGAAGCTCTGCAGTCAGAGTCGGATCCGATCATCTATACCATACCTTCACCTACCATAACCTAGTTTTTTTTGTAGGCTCTTATTAAAAGTCCTAATATGGATGTTATAGCGACCCTACAAAAAAGTAGGTCTTGGTAGGTTAAGGCACTTAAAGGATCATAGGACGTATAGTAGCTAAGGATATATAATGAGGTAACTGTACTCCTGACAACTTAAAGACGCAATCAAGGTAGTTATATGCCTTACTTACTAAGTCACATGATCCTGCAAGTAGGTCTGAATGAGTAGTGGCCGGCAAATCCCTCAAAATAGGATCATCATAGTGGTACCTCCTTGCAGTCCTGATATAGTTGTACCGCTATGCTACCATATACCCCCTAATTTATAAGTAAACGATATTGATTGATTGCGTCCGACTCCCAGTAAACCCTAAACCCTAAACCCTAAACCCTAAACCCTAAACCCTAAACTCTAAACCCTAACCCTGGCCCTAAATCTGAGCATATGACATACCGCTGCGACCTGTGAGGCCTTTGCAAGCTCGAGTTGGCTCCTTCAGGGAAGGATGAGGAAAATCTGGCTGCGACGCGGCTTCATGAAGTTGGGAAGGACTCTTCAGGTTCAGGGTTTAGGATTTAGGGTTAGTTTTATGCGGTTTAGGGTGTAGGGTTCGAACAGGGGGGGGTCAACATAGAGAGGGTCTCAAACAAACGCATACCTCCAGACGTTTTTACATTGCCGCGCAAAAAGCCTGAGGCATCAAATCCTCAAATGATGCTGTGTTGGCTGTAGTATAGCAACTTGATCTAGTCTGTTGGGTTTTGGACCGGGTTTTTCTTTGCAAATGATCGGGGCCCCAGTGTGTCTGCGTCTCCATAATATAGACCCTAAGGAACAGTAGCTGGATCCTTATTCAGAGATTCCCCCGGCTCCCACCCGAATTGAAGTCTTGGGGGAGTGGCTGCATCCCCAAACCCCTCAGCATGAACCAGTGTTGAGGGTTTAGAGGGTAACTGTGTTTAGGGTTTAGGGTCCCTAAACCCTAAACCCTAAACCCTAAACCCTAAACCCTAAACCCTAAACCCTAAACCTAACTTTGGGAGTAGTCCTATTGTTGGGAGTCTTCAGCAATGTCTCTCGTTTTTTGAACTTGTGTTTTGCCCTTGTCTTTAGACGCTCCCAAGCCATGAAATCCTAACCCATAGGCCCATAGGGTTCTCAGTAGTCTTCGTATTTGTGGCTCTGGCCCTCTACGATAAGAAGTACTCGGAGTGACTCATCAATATTGCCAAGGAGCCCTGTACCCTATGTAATCTATACTCATCGGTATCCTACTTCGCTTGGACCCGTTGGGGGCAAACCTGGACGAGTACACCGTGACAAAGTCACAGAGAAGCCTCACTTCTACATCAACCAAAGCCTTAGGGGCTGAGTAGGTAACCTTTAACCATTTGAAGGCTTACAAAATCTTACTAGACTTGAAAACGTTGACCTTTTTTGGGCTAGCGTATTCGGCTTTGGGAAACCTTTCCAATGCCGAGAAGTCTTCTCAAGCGACATGCTCCGTGCAAAAACACAGACACTCTGCCAAAGCTTTGTAGCGCACATCCATCCAAAAAAGGTGCCCAAATAATTGCCAATACAATGTTATACTCCAAAGCCATATGCTCAATATTCAGGCTCCCACAATACAAAGAGGATGCTTTCCCAAATCATGATAGTAATCCATACTGTAGAAACCTTACTGTTACGTTCTACGATACAGGTAATAAGGACCCTTTGAGGAATGATGAATATACCCCCAAACCCATCGGCCCTACGCGAAATAAGGCCCCTATAGTACCCCAGCGCTCTTTTCAGTCTTCCAGGTGACCGATCTCGAAGTGGAGATCTTCTGCGAGGGCAAGTGCAGCATTCAAGACCAAGTGCTAGGCCAGCAAGATTGGGGCTTAGATTATGTTCCGAAATCCTTTACACGACCCTTATATACATACTTATGTGTATACGTATGTTTACATACGTATAGTTACATATATATATATATATATGTATGTATATATATATATATATAGATGTAGACTTGTATATGTAGAGGTACGTTTCTGCTCTGTAGGGTTTTGGAGCTCGCAGTTTACGATGCAGGGTTGAGGATGTTTTAGTATGGGTGCCGTAAATAAGCTTGAAGTCAGGACAACATGCGCAAATACTTATAAGCATGCATATGTAATGTAATGTAATGTAATGTAATGTAATGTAATGTAATGTAATGTAATGTAATGTAATGTAATGTAATGTAATGTAATGCAATGTAATGTAATGTAACGTTTTTATGGCATGTATTCTGTATGTATGTAATTATGTATGTATGTATGTATGTATGTATGTATGTATGTATGTATGTATGCATTTGTTTATCTATATATATGTATATATATATATATATATATGCATCTTTATGCACAGATATCTGTCTCTGTCTCTGCCCCCCTTGTCGAGCAGTTGTGCTTGCGATGATGAGCATGACACCTGTAAGGGCGTTTGGACCGAAATCCCGGAGCTACTAAGTGAACCGTAAATCTAAAAACAAAACCGACGTTGCCCCGACATCTATAATCTATAACAAGGGGAGGGGTCGACCACAGAATAAAAAGTCTGGTAGTCTGGGAGTTCGCATCATAGGGGTCGGAAGAGGCCCTTTTCAGCTGTGCATGCCTTCTGGGGGCGGGCTCGGACGGGGATAATACATAGGTCAGCTCAGGCCGTTTTCAATATTCTACAGGTTTGCCGATGGTTGGCACGCCCATTATAGCATTATGCTTGCTGCCGGAGTAGGTGCCGACCCCTTTCTAGGAGCGGGGATCGCTTCGCACACAAAGCACACAAGGCCATGCATGTGTTTTTTTGCGATCGGTGCAGCTGAGCTCGTGGCCATGAACACCATGGGTGTGATCGATGCCGGCCTCAAAGGCGCGGGCATCTTCTCGACGGAGCGCCACGGGGTCGGCGCGCTGCTGTGGCAGCTGACCAATCCGGGCAAGGTGAATTGTTGACAGAGTTACCTGTGAGTTGGCAGGTGTCCGCCTGCTCCGCCTCGTGAACCACGCCTGCGTCCCGAATGCGATTGTCGTGGAGTCGTTTGCCAGCTCCCTGGTCGTCGATGGCACGGCCTTGAGACATGTCTTGTCATCCTGCAACGAGGTTCGGACTTGCAAAGCCATCGAGCCGGGGCAGGAGGTCACCATATGTTACCCGGATCCGGACGTGCTTTTGCAAGCCTGCTCTTGAGTTCCAAAGCGTGCATCTCTGGCAGGATGTCCGGCAGCCTTGCTTTTGCAAGGACTGCGAACCGAAGCTTTCGCTGGAGCACGGGCAGTGTGTAGGGGGTGCTTGTCCTGGTTCCTGGTGCGGCCTGTGATGCTGCATGGTCGAAGAAAGTGTCATGCTGGACGCTGACATGCCCGTGCCTCAAGACTGACTTCGGCACGAAGATCCTTCAAGTACTTCGCAAGTTGCAGGAGCAGCTGCAAAAGAAGGATCCCAAGGACATTGGGCCACTGTCATCACTGTCATACAGCCAAGACACAAAATTTTGCTCACCGCAGGAGTGGCTGCAGCTACTCGCCGAGATCCCTGAGAATTCGACCGCCCGCTCGTTCCGCTACGCCATGCCTGAGGGCTGGGAGTCGTTTGGGGTGTATATCGGTTCGAGATTCTATATGTTCACAGTGCACAAACCTTGCAGCCCGGCAAGCATGTGAGATTTGTAGCTTCGAGAATGCATTGTGGCGAGATCTTTCAGTAGTCGACAGCTCTGCTCCACGCTTCAAGGCCGGGGTCTGACCCTTGCCCCAATTTCCCAATACTCGCAGCACACCAGGAAACCTTGCAGCCCTGGCAGCATCTGAGATCTGTAGCATCTGTAGCTTCGGCGTGTGATTCACAAAGATCCGGAAGGCTTGGGGCGAGCTCCCTCAGTAGTCGACAACTCTGTTCCGCTGATTTCCGCAGTGCTTCAGAGCTGGGAGTTTGAGCTGTGTTTTAAAGGAGTTTGTTGGTTCTACATATTCGGAACAAGCTGGAATGGAAACCTTGCAGCAGCGACAGGATCTGCGACTTCACCGGCTTCGGCGTCGGTATTACAATAAGAAAGAGTCCGGAAGACTCCCAAATCATTATTTGTGTGCGTGTGTCTGTGTGCCTGTGTCTGTGTCTGTGTGTGTGTATGTGTGTGTGTGTGTGCATGTTCGTGCGTGCAAACCCGGGCTCCAAACCCTAATTAAAAACCGTCGGTGGAGTCTGTCACCCTGAACCCTACAACAACCTACAACCTTCAACCCTCGAGAAAGAGAAAGAGAAAGAAACAGAGAGAGATAGAGATAACCTAGAAGGTTCGCTCCACGGGGCGGTGAGTTCACTCCGCATACCCGCAGCCAGCAAACAAGCAAGCAAGCGGGCAAGATAGATAACGTAACCATGTTGGCTCAATTCAAGAAAGACGCCTGTCACGAATGCACTGATGCGCGAAGTAGCTGGAATGGGGTCGATGACAACATCATAGGTCCTAGGCGCAAAACAGACGAGTCTGCCTTCTTCGGGCTTTGAGGCTAGCACGCACCCACTTCATGCTTCGCAGGGTGGCGCAAGCTGATGGGCGCACATGGTTGCCACGGACCCTTTTCAGTATGTGCCCTCTAAGTTTTGTCGCTGCAGTGCCGAAGGCGTCGGTGCGACCCTTTTCATCTTAAAGCAACCTTGACACAGACCCTGTTTAAAAACTAAGAAGGGTGTGCCGACCCTCAGATGGCGAGGGAATGGCTATATCACATGACATGTTTTACGCGTGTTTTCCAGCTGAATGGAGATGTGCACTTGTTTCCAGGATCGGGGACTTCCTATGTGCTGTTAGTGAGGTCCGAATAGCCTAAACGGAGCAAGCTCGATTTATGAAGCCGGTCGGGGTGCCTGCAAAAAAGGCCATGTGCACCGTTTTAGGCAGTCAACTGAGCCTCGCATAGCACCCTAAACCACCGCGTCCTAAAGCCGCCGTCCCTCAACACACAGCGTGCTCTGCACGCCACACCTGAGCACCGGCTCTTCAGCCCTGAAGCCCTTAGACCTCTCAGGGACGCCTAAGCCGTAAACGTCCAAACCGTGAGTATAAAGCCAACCCAAAACCTAGACCGCAGAAGCCCTTAGCCCTAAACCCAGAGGCGTCTTGTCTTCCGACGACGCCATCGAAGTAGGCCCTTTGGCAGCAATGTGTTCTTTTGGGGCTTGGAAACCTGAAGCTGTTAACGGTTTAGGGTATACGGTTTATGGTTTGTGGGCTTGGTCTTTGAGGTGCTCAGGGGAGGTAGGTTGCAGGTGTTGGGTGCTTCGGCTTCAGTTTCGCTATACTCCTTCTCGAAGGGATTTTCTAGTTGCCCGTTGACTGCCCTTTTGCTAGGAGAACTGTTCATGCTTGTCTAGCTTGTTGAGTTTGGGGTATGGGTTGTCGCGTGTTGGCTGAGAATTTTCCTCCCTTGGCAAGTCCCTGGTGAAGTTCAGCAACCCAATTATAACACCCTGTAAAGGCTTGTGCTCTCGAGTTTTCAATGATGGCTGACACGGGTTCAAATCTAGTGCAACCAACCCTAAACCCTTCACCCTAAATTCCACACCCTAAACCCACATCCCTCAGACGTAAGAAGGCTCAGTTATGCATGGCTGTAGGACCCATGCGGGTCGGGTCTTTTGACGTGCTTTCGTTGACTTGTATTGGGGGGTTAGATACATGATATTTTATGGGGGGTTTTTGATTTTTTGGTTCGGATTGCTCCATGCAACATCCTCTAACCTGACAGATTGAAACGCCAGAGCCCTCACGCCTTAAACCGAGACCAACCGGAAGTCAACCCGACACACCCGGAATCCTAAGAACGAGCGAAGCTGACCCCTAAACCTTAAACCTTGACACTAACCTAAGCAGCACCATGGACCCCAAACCCTGAACACTATCAACAATTTCTGTTCTCGAAACTTAGCCCCACAAAGGCAAGCACGTCTACGTCTACAAGGAAGGGAGCCCAGGATACGGGAACAAGTGCAAATCTGAGAAGCACGTCATCACAAGGAACTTTGTGAGGCAGCGCTGGGTAGTTTAGGGTCTATCGGTTGCCAGGCGCAGCTATGATCTCAGGGTTTCATTTAAAGACCCCCACCCAGCAGCCAGGGTGTATCCAATGTCTGTCAATTCCTGGTGGGGCATGCAAGCACGCTGGACCTTAGACAAGAACGGCGAGGCTGCTGGCCCGTGGTTTCGTTTTAGGGTTTCTGCTTTGGGTTGGGGGTTTTACTTTCTTATCTGAGGAGCTGCTTTCTGTTTTGGTGAGCACATAGGTTGTAATTGCGCATATTGGCAGCGACCTTTTCAGCAGAGACCAAGTTCATGGGCGTGGAATGGCACGGAAGCAACAGTCGCATGTGCGCACGGATTGCTAGCAAAATGCCGCAGGAGCCAATGCTATTCGGGCGCGGATACACGGAAGGGGCGCACAAGGGTTCAAATTTAAAGCTGGAGCAGACATCAAGGGGTTTTGTGCGCACGGGGTCGTTCGTTTCGTGGAAGCTTGCGCGCACAAACTTCGGAAGGGTTGCGAATATCGAGAAGAGGAGCCCCATGCTGACCAGCAAGTCAACCCTAAAGCCTAATCATTGCCTTTGCGGTCCTCCTTGACACCCAATCCCCAAACCCTAAACCCTAAACCTCTGCACATCTGCATGAGCAGGTGCAACGGGGACGGCAAGGAGTGCTTGAGACACTGACGCTCAGCTGACTGAGGGTTGCATGCAGAGGTTTGAATATCTGTTTTCTGTTGGATACCATTCTACATTTTTGATCTGATAAAACCCAATAAGGATTAACACTTCTCATGTTTAAGAAAGCCCCAACAGGGAACCAGATATGGGTAGTCCTCTAAATTGGGGTGCCTGTATCCTAAAGGGGACCCTAATCATGAGAATTTCACTTATGAGGTGTCCCTTTAAGGGTCCATGTACCTGAATAGTATATATACATTGGCCCCAATTTTTCAAGTACCTAAAGAGGGACTACTTTGAGGCCAAACTATACACTATAGGAGTACATGGACCCCAAGGGGTTTGAGTACCACTCAACAAACTGTCAAAGTTCGTTTGTGACTGTACCTTTCGTCTCCATTGTAGTTCGTTTTTGGGATTGTCTTTTAGGATCCTTAATATAAAATGGGTTAAACCCCAAAAGGGAACTGCAATGGAGACTATAGGTGCTGCGACATGTCCCGAAGCCCTATTCTAGTTGCCAGGCCCCGTGCATGTGTAGTTGATGAAGGACCCGAACCACCGAGGATGTATGTAACTGCGCTAGGTTGTACAAATCTTTCGTATTTGATAACTTTTATGAGCAACGTTCTCTTCTAGCTCTATTGTAAGAGAGGTATACCTACCTTATAAGTATGTTTATACCGGAATTATAACTAGGGAAAACAATATGAGTGGGAAAGAAAGTTCTGGAGGGCAAGGTTCAGGTTTACGTGAACCCCCCCCCCAAAAAAAAAACAACCCGTTCTATGGTTTCGGTTTGGGTTTAGGATGTAAATAAGCAGGGAACCCTACGACGGAGGGTTTTGGGGGGGATAGGGTGGGGCTTCGGGTCGGCCATGAGCTCTTGTCAACAACTGTAGGGTTTAGGGTTTAGGGTTTAGGGTCTAGCTAAGCACGACGCAGCCAGCCAGAAAAATCTTAGCCCGGTTGTCTGCGCAGGTCAACCCTAACTCTTCAACGACTGCCGCAGTATTCAAGATCCGTTCCCATCGAGCTGACAGGTCATGGATAAGTCATGTAGGAACCTGATCAAGAAACCCGCCCTTATAACCCACAAAATTGGGATTCATATACAGAACCCCAACAAAGACCCTGGGTTTCCAAAGCAGGTTGCGACATTACGTAGGGTTCGAGCCATTGGAGAAACGCTAGGGCAGCACCTCAGCCCCAACCCCAATAACTCCCCTAGTTTGGGGTTTTGTGGTTTTTAGGGTGCAGGGTTTTGTTTTTTAAGGTTTAGGGTTTTTAGAGTTTAGGGTTTAGGGCTTTTAGGGTTTAGGTTTTAGGCTTTATGTCAGGTCCGTTGTAGATTCCTGCAAGAGGTCTTATAAACAAAGATGACACAAACAAAGCTGATTGAACTGCCAAGCCCTAGAGGAAACCGTGCAGAACTCCATCAGCCGTAAGGGGAGGCCGTCAAGTCTCAATCCTAAGATTCAAAAAACCTAAACTCTAAACCTTAAAACCACAATCCGCGAAGTCCGAAAGCCCTGAACTCTAAAACCCTATGGCCCTAAAGCCTTAAACCTCAAAACACCAAAAGCCTAAAGAGCCTAAAACCCCAAAACCCCAAGACCAACAACAAAAAATCGACCCCTAAGCCCTAAATCCCCAAGCCACGGAACAGGGGAAGAAGTGGGGGAGCTCTGAGGTTTGGAGACCGTTTCTGGCAAAAATCGGGGATGCTGGCATGCCAAGTCGCTGAGTCGCAGCCAGATTAGGTTTAGGGTTTAGGGTTTATAGGGTTTAGGGAGTTCATGGCTTGAGGGGTTTGGGGGTTTTAGGCTCCAGGGTTACGTGTTTATGGGGTTATAATAAGGGTTGCATAACTTGTAGGTCACGATATTCTCTGCAGGTTGTTGTTTGATTGCTTTAGGCTTTGTGGAGGGTGCAAAGGCGGATTTGAGCAAGGTTTTGGTGTTTTAGGTTGCAGTAAGGGGGTTCGGTTTTGTACGAGAGCACTTTAGGAGTTTTACTCTTCTACGGCTTGAGGCTTAAGGTTGTTCAAGCCTTGTTTGACTCTAGGCGGGTGGGGTTTGGCGTGTTTTGGCTGAAGCAGCTTCGTAGCTTCGACTTTAACTTTCCGAGATTGTGGTCCGTGCCGCCCCAAACGCTAGAAGTCACTGTTCGACGACCACCGGCTCGAGATTGCCATTATTGTGGGCGCAACAAAGGGTTTTTGAGGGTATATGATACTATAAGTTTAAAAAGGAACCTCCAAAATAGTATAGTTGATTGTTAAGGCCCCTCTAGTAAGTCCTTATCAATGACCCGTGGGTTTATGGAAGCCCTTTGAAGCAAGGCTCTATGTTGAACAAAACCTTCTCGGCATCACGAAGAGGCTTCCAAGGAATGCAGCCCTAAACCTCAAACCCAGGCAGGCCAATACCGAGGCACCGTTTTCCGAAGATGATCTAGGTTCCCCAACAGTACCCTTGTTGCTTTTCTGCCCTTGTTTTATGAAAACGCAGGAACAAAAAGGGTACCCTTATGATTCAAGGGCTACTGGGGGAGATTAGAGATGCACTTGTAGCATCATTCCTTGCTCCTGAGTGCCCTGGGCTTCGGGTGCAGGATTAGGGTCTATCGGGTGAAATTCAGGTTTGGATAGGTTTGGGGCTCAGAATCTTTCTTTTAGGGGTTTAAGGTTCACGGGTTTAGGGTTCACGGTTCTCGGGTTTTGAGATTACGAGCTTAGAATGAAGGGCTTACCATACTCTTGCCAAGACCATCACGACCACGAAAGCGCGCAGACTTGAACCAACACAGCACGGCTTCGCCCCGGAAGAAGGATGGACATACCGACACACGCACAAACAAACAAACACACACACACACATACACACATGTGCAATGACATAGATCGTATCACCGGTGGCTGTTTGAAGCACCACTGCAGTAGCGCAAGCGTTTACTAAAGGCACAGCAGCCCAACAGCATGTAATCCGAAAGCCCGACATGTCCGAGCCATGCGCACGAACCGCGGTAAACCCAAGGCCCTAAACCCGAAGCCCTACACCCTTAGCCCCAAAACCCCTAAACCCCAAACCCTAAACCCCAACCCTGACCCCTAAAACCTTAGCCCCAAAGCATAGCGTAAAAGGAACATCCTCACCGAGTCACAGTGGAAGAAGGAGCCGGCTTACTGAACGGTTCTGGGGCCTCCGGGGTCTGGGGTTTAGGGTTTAGGGTTCGTTGAGGGTTTGTTTGGTTTAGGGTTTAGGGTTTAGTTTTTGTTGTTTGGTTTAGGGCTTCGGCTTAGAAAGGTGTTTCTGAGTTTGGCTATTTTGGGCTCAGGGTTTAGAGTCTTGTTTTTCAGGGTTAGTGTTTTAGGGTTTAGGGGATCAGGTGGGGTCGACTTGCCTGCTTTTGGCCCGCGAACCTGCTCACTAAGTCAAGCGGTCCCTTCTAGAATCTGGAACTGGAAACCCTAATAAACACCAAGCAGCGCAGCTTTGAACCTCTTTTTCAATGGTTGAAGACGCAGAACGGGGCTTGGGAGACCCTAGACCCTAAATCCTGACCCCCAAACCCCTAAATCCTAAACCCTAAACCCCTAAACCCCTAAACCCTAAACCCTAAACCCTAGACCCGTCATAAGAACTTCCAGGGTCCACTATCAAGCCCAAACCCTTAAGAGCTATCACTTTCTAGAAGCACCTGACTCATCAATCAGGGTCGCGCCCTAAACTCAGCCTAAACTCCTAAACCCTAAACCCCTAAACCTCAAACCCTAAACCTAAAGCCCCTAAACCGTGAGCTTAGGATAATTGGAATCACGGCTTAGGGCCAAGGCATTAGGGTTCCGTTTAGGGTGTAGGGCATGGGGTTTACCAGGATTGATGGTTTAGGGTCTTGGGCGGGTTTACATAGGGTTTTAGATTTGAGGGCTTTATGATTTATGTGGGGCTTTAGGGTTTTAAAGTAAAAGGGGTTCTTTGGCCTTTCTGGACTTTGGGCTTGCCTCGTTCTCCCATGCCAAGCTTCTTGGTGTTGTTTCAAGTTGCGTGCGTAGTATTCCCGGCTCCCCTACCCTATCCCTAAGGGTCCGAAGGACCCAATAATAAGGTGCTTTGGTTGCGGATAGTAGTTTTCTAGGTCGATATTTGGGAGAGTATATGATTATTAGGTACTTGGACCCTTAGGGTATGCCCTAAGCCTTGGCATGCGGGACCCGACGAAGAGCATGGAGGCTGTCGACCGCCTTGAACACGTTCCAGTTCGATCCCGCGCCCTAAACCCGAAACCGTAAGCCCTTAATTCTAAATCCTAAACCCTAAATCCCCACGAGTGCTGTTTAGGG